TTGATTAGAGAATGAGCAATACTGTGGATAAAAACCCAGTTCGGAACATCCCTCCATGTTTAATTATGTACTCGTGGGAGGATGTATGCAGGAGGCTGAGGGTAGAGGATAGGGATGGCTGGGGGTGGCTGTGGGGAAGGTAGGCTTCTGGGTAAAGATTTAGACCTATAGATTTAGATCTATCTAAAGGATCACCAGAAGACAAGTAAAATTGTTGCCCCAAAATCTACCTTCCCTCACAGCTACCTCCAGCCAACCCCATCCTCTAGCCACAGTATTGACATCTCAGGTTTGAAAACAATATTTATATACTGCCTTATTCCAAAAACGGTTAGTGTGAAAGGAAAATAACAGTTGAAAATTTGGAAGAGTGAGGTTAGTGTATAAAATGCATGTCACGAAACTGTCTACCCACTAGACGTTGGCCTGAGATTTGTCTCTTCTATTTCTAGCAGTCAGCATGAAGAAGGAAACATAATCATTTGTAAGACTGACAGTATAAATATAGTATATATTACAACAAAACAAAACAAAACACCACACCACCAAAGCAGTGATGACGTGCTCACTAGTCTTAATATTGACACCTGAGAGAGTGTTCTCCTGTTGACTTCCATGAACCTTGGTTTCTTTGCTTGTACAGTGGGTATAATAGTATTTAATTTGTGCAGTTGTGAGGACTGCATGAGGAAATAGATATGAGACCTAGCCAGAACCTGGCACATCTGTAAGTACTCAATAAGTAGTTTCTGTCATCTGTGTGTACTGTAAACACAGCAATGTGTATCCTAAAGGAGCTAATGGAGCTATCTTGCATGTAGAGACATGTTAAACACCCAGTCCTCTAGAGAATGTTTAGCTGATGTAAAACCCTTTTCTGGTTTGATGGGTTTAATTCTACAAAGTCTTATATCATCCCAGTCCTCTTTAACTTGAATGACTACAGAGTTACTAAGTATAAGGGTTCTCTGTTGGCCTGAAAGCACAACAACTATCAGCGCCATTAGTTTAGAAATATCTGAGGAACTGAGAGAACTGGACATGATTAACTTCACAGTACTCCTGCTGTCAACTGAGGTGGAGCAGGTGGGGATGGGAAGAAACAAGGATCACCTGGGGATAATTTCTGACATTCAGAGATAACCTGGAAAGCCATGTTTTCTATCCAGTTGTACTGGCAGTGGGATGGATTGTGAGATATTCCCAAGACATGGAGAGTTTGTAGGGGAATTTGTACTCTCTGTCAGAGAAAGGCATGTGGGGTATTTATTTGAACACATGACACTGAGGCCACTGCCAGATCAAGGACTGAATGCCCTTTGACTCACACCTAAATGAATACCATCAAACATAAATTCTAGTAGTTTTACACTACAAACTTTTGAGTAGCAAGAATGTAACCTTTACTTTAATAACATTTTAACCAATCACCTTTTCCTTATGGATTATTGTTATTTAAAAACCATTTTTACTCCTTTTTATACTACCTTTGAAGCAGTTTATTGACATTTCTAGCAGAGAATTTCTTTTTTTTTTTTTTAAGCCTTAACTTCCCTTGTAAGTTAAGCAGATCACTGTCCCTGATTCTTTGAGTGTCTTCCTGTTTTGTAGACTGTTGCTGGATTGGAATGCTTGTCTGTCGAGTTTCTCGTTTTCATTTTACATGTAAAAGAATACTACACCCTCAACCTTTATGGCTTTCCTAGCAGCTTGCTGTCATTTTGTGAGTTGTGACTTTAAAAATAGTGATCAAGCTTCATGACATATCTCTGAGACAGGAAACGATATTTTAATGAAAACAGATATTGAGATCCACCTACGATAGTCTTATCTACAATAGCCTAGTTATCAATTGTGCTGCTTTCATCGATCCTAAAGACAGGTGTTCTGTGGGAGTGGTAAGAATGCTCCCATTCAAACCCATTTTACTTTTGGTAGTTTTGTTACTTAGCACATACAGCTTATGAAATATTTGGTCATCACCTGGAGAAAACTGCCTAACCCCCACTCACCAAAGCAAGGCTGTCTTTACTCTCTTCTCATGGGCAAAGAAACTGAGGTGGAGAGAGATGGAGAAGTGATTGATGAAACACAGGCACTGTCCCTGGGTTCCTAAAGGTGCGTTTAACCTTGGGGACCATGTTCCTTTTTCTCTATCTGAACACAAGATAGAAAAGGAAAATTTAGTTGCCAGTAATGTGTGAGAGGAGAAGGAAGATGCTTTGAGTTTTGGATTGCTCAGCTCACTGCTATGGTTTCCTCTGGCAGCTCTTGGAAGACAGTATTTTCCTCACTCAGGGAATATTGTATGTTACTATGCCGTTAGGATCTCCACGATCCTAAGTTCAGAGCCATGTGGGTACCAGAGATTCGTACCTCCCCACAGGCCACCACTGAGAGTATCAAAAATATCTAAGAGTAGTTGCATGGGGTGGGGAGCAGGAACAGACTTAGCCAGAACCTGGCATATTTGTACGTACTCAGTGGGCAGGAGGGGTCTTTTTCTGATGGATGGAAATGTTCTAAAATTGGATTATGGTGATCGTTGCACAAATCTGTAAACATCCTAAAAATCACTGAAATCTACTCTTAAAATGTGTGAATTTTATGGCATGTAAATCATACCTCAGTAAAGCTGATAAAAAATGTCCGACATTCGGGCTGGCTTGAAAGGAACCACATTTCGTAGCCCAGTATCATATCTGAAAGCTTCCGCACCTGTCTGAAAGTGCATGAGGAAGTGAGTGGGGGAAGGCAGCAGAGGTGGGAGCTGCAGGCAACGGGAATAAGCCCACTCCTGCTTGCCAGGCAGGGAGGAGGGCTCTGATCACGATGGGAATCAAATGGCCCTGTTTTTGTGGTGATGACGACTCAAATTAGATTCTAGAAGGTAAGGCACATTCCTCTCCGTGGGCTTTGAAAGCTTACTTTCTGAATCGCCCTAATTATTTCATTCGGTGGACAACAACACTTGATAGCCAGAAATCTTACCTTAAAATCCTACCGGCCCATACAGAGTGTCCTTTAAATGATTGATCAGATGTACTATACAGGTTTGGATAAACAATACTTTAAAAAAAATCTATCCGTACAGCATCAATATAACTAATGTAGCTTAACTGCCATTTTTTCTTAGTTGCCATTATTTAATAAGATGTAGAAAATATTTAATGTGACAGGTTTTAAAAAATTTCCAATTTCTTCTTTTTTTTTTTTTTTTTTCATGACGCTTTCCTAATTCCTGAATGAAGGCAACCAAGCTTTCAGTGTTTGCTTTACTAAAGAAATGGGTTGGCTTTTCTTACATGTATTGTGTGACTTGAGATAAAGCTGCAGGGCGCCCTCGGTAACTGGAGCACAGGAAACAATTGACACTGTTACTTAATTCACATTGTTTCTGAGACATTTCCTACTTCCTAGTATAATATAACTTTCCCATGAGAACAATTTGCTTGCAAACAGTTAGACATGATAAATTTCTCATTGGTACACATTCTGCGAGGAGAATTTGATGGTACTTTGTAGTAACTGAGTTGTGTGTGTGTGTGTGTGTTTGTGTGTGTTGTGTGTGTGTGTTGTGTGTGTGTGTGTGTTGTGTGTGTTAGTGCGGGGGGTGGGGGTGGGGGGGAGGTTCACGCATTATATAGATGTCTCCAACTTCATTCCAATTATCAGATGTTTTCTTTTGAATGCTAACCCATTCGCTTAGTGTTCTGCATTCCTTCCTTGGAACCTCTTTCTTGAAGGAGGATATAATTGTTTTACTCCTTCCAGTTTAAGGGCACACCCCTGTGAATTCATGGTGTTTTTAGATATGGCTATGAGTTACTGTGGAAAGTCATTCACAGCAATTTATATCAGACATACCGCTTGTTCAAGTATTCCATGCAGGTGTGTGATGTTGTCTGTGGCACTATAAGTGATCATTATGGAATCATTCCAGAATGGGAGAGGAAACCCATAGATGAGATCATCTAACCTGTAGTTAAAAAAATAAAAAGAAGTTTTCACATTACTTCCAAAATGGTTCCCACATTCAGAAGTTATGCTGTATATAAAGTGAAAGTAAAAGTTAACAAATTAAAAAAAAAAGATGTAGAACTTTAGAGTTCTTTTTTTTCTGTCTTATCAGATTTTGTAAAAATAATATCACTTGTCAGTTTTGCAGCTCCTTCCATCGAGAGAACTAAAAGCATTTCACAACGTTTTTTCTTCGTGCCCTTCTCTTCAAGGCAATTTTTGCTGGGCTAGGTTTATTTTTATCATTGCCATAACCAGTTTTTAGAAACTTTTGGAAACAAAAAAAGAAAAATGAGAATGGCACTGTAGCTGACATTCATTTTAGCTGCTTCCTAGTGTGAACATTTGAGTATTTCTAAAATCTTTTCTCTAAGTATGTCTTATTTTTTCTCAGCTTGTCCCAGTTCTAAGTCTCTATTCTGCTGATTGGGTAAAAAAAAAAAAAAAAATTTTTTTGGTATAAAACCTTATCCCCAGCAGAATGACTTCTTGAACTTTGAGTTAGATCTTTATTTTTTGTTGCTTCAAGAGCTTCTTTTTCTGTTGAGTATAATCATGGACTTATCGAAGGTTAGAACAGGAAGGGCCTCTGGGGGCTACCCAATTTAAGTCTCTCATTATACATGATGAATGGTTAAGGGACATGCTCAAGGTCATATGGCCAATTGATGGCAGAGGTCTGACGAAAACCAGGGATTCCTTATTTCTGGTTTGGTATTTTTTGGTTTTCCTAAACAAAAGTTGTCTATCTGGGTGGAACTAGAGGACATCCTCACAGAATCCTAGTGCCAACCAACAGGTTGAATTATACTCTAGCTAACTGAAAATTGGGAGGGGTTTTATTTTCCCAGTTTGAGTTTATTTGTCAAATATAGAATGGTAATGTTGAATTCAGGCATTTTCTTTTCTGACCTGTGGATCTTGTGCAATTTATATGCAGCAGATTTGAAATGATTGGTAATTTGTGTACCTTCCTTTAGGCCACCACACCATCTACATTGGGGTCCACGTGCCAAAGAGCTACAGGAGAAGGAGACGTCACAAGAGAAAGACAGGGCACAAAGAAAGGAAGGAAAAGGAGAGAATCTCTGAGAACTACTCTGACAAGTCAGATGTGGAAAACGCCGATGAATCCAGCAGCAGCATCCTCAAGCCGCTCAGTGAGTGCTTTCTGGGTGTTGGTGCCTCTGTCTGCCTCACTCCCACGTTCTTGGGAAACACACTTCGTAGGATCTTGTTGCTAATGGGGAGGGACCCAGTAATATGGGATGGTCTCCTCTAACAGAGAATGTCTACGGGGATGCTTTTCTTGTCCCAACAAGTCGGTCTAGGAGGAGATTTAGTAAAAATTCTGAGTTGGTCAGAAAAGATCTGACAATATTTAGGCACGATCGTGTGTTCTATATTTTGATTAAGGAAGTAGGGCAGAGTATTATAGATGGTATTTAACTACAGTAATCAACAGTAACTGGAAGATTCTTAAGTAAAATTTTGGATTGTTTCTGCTTAGAAATAGGCTCTATTGAGACAGTAGTTTGAGATGAGAATTTTATATATACGATTATGTTTATGTGTAGATAGATATAGATATAGAAGATACTTACCAGATTAAATGTGACGTTTAACCAGGTTGTAGGCCAGTCAGTGATTCAAAAAGGAGTCATGGAAAAGCATCCTGTAAGTCAGAGAAGAATGTAGAGTGACACAGCTTGTGAAATGTTGAACGTATTAGATATCATACTTTGGATAAAAATGTTACAAAGAACAGAATAGCGGAAAGTCAGAGAACACCCCTGGATTCAAGTAATTGGGTGGACTGTGTGTTTAGATACATGTGTATGTTGCTTTTATTTCTTTTGATGTGGAGAATATTTGGCTATCTGGGTAACTGTGTCTGAAGTGAGAAAGAGTACGTGCAGTAGAAGGGAGAAGCAGTAGAAACACAGGCCAATTTGGGGAGCTTCCCCAACAGGAGTTACGTAGTGACAGCTTTTCTTGTTGGCAGAGCTCTGTACATTCTTCACCTCTTTGCTACAGTTGCAGAAATACCGAACCTGCAATGAAATGTGCAGATGAAGATCCCGTTCAGTCATTGCAGGTGATGAGAGACCAAATTAGAATTAACAGCTCAGGAGTGTTGAAAAGTGAATTCACAGAGTTAATTGCACACAGAAGGTGCAAAATGTAGTGATGTGAATCTGTGAATTTTTTATAGTCTCACCATTGGAACTGAGCAGGTGGCTTCGAAGCTAGAGAGATACTGTGCTGAGAAGGGCAATACAGATGGACCTCCAAATTAAAGATACACAATTTAAGGAGAGTTTGGAAGTGGACCACTGAATTAAAATTTAAAGGTCTTAGAATAAATGTAAGTCTTCGAAAGAACCAGAGGGCAGGAGGCAAGAGTAATATACTTTTCATTGGAATGTTAAGGGAAAGCCTGTCCAAAAGGAATCCTTCATATATTGACTAAGAAAAAAGAGGGGGTATGGAGTTTGTTTCAAGTAAGTCCTTGAAATGCAGATAAAAAAGGTCACAGTTAATAGTCTGGAGGAACAAAAGATAACATCCCTTTTCAAATAAATTACTACTGTCTATCTTGATTTGCTATCTGTTTCCGCAAGGCCTGAGTCAGAATCAGACCTGCTCTTCTCAGCCTGTATGTGTGATCTCTCTGTCTCTCTCATAGTCATCTCTCATTCTGGAATTTAAGAACAAGAATGCATCATCACTATAAATACTAAACTGGGAGGGATGCTCGCCTAGACAAGTGGGCCAAGGGATTTTTGAGATGATAATTATGTACCAGCTCTGTAGGTAAGTCAGTAATAGGGAATGAGCGGATCAGAAAGTTAGAGAGATCGAACTTGTGTCCACCATGGGAGTTGCGTTGCTTCCTGTGGCATTTGGGGACCAGTTTGAGTACAGCACGTACAATAAACAAGGCAGTTCATTCTCTTTACCCTCAGAGGTCTCCTCCCTGGGGAGTACTGCATTGTGTTGTTGTGTACTTGCTGTTGGAAGGGGTCGTATGGAGAGACCATTGTTAAGGACCACATTGTTCAGTGATCATAAGGAAATTGTTTATATAAATTTGCCTTTTATAGTTAGTTATTTTCCTGCTAGTTAATAAGTTTTGCTGTAATATGCCTTGGATATATTTGACATGAGTCATTCATTTGACATGAAGGTTCTCTTAGAAATTACTGCATATTCTCTCCAGTGCTTATCTTGGAGACTAGATGGATTGGTAGCTGGTTTATCTGGTGCAGTTCTACTTAGAATGTTACACTTGTTGCACTCAGATACAGGAAGACATTTAACTATGAGTTTGGGGAAGCTACAGGGCTCTGGCACCAATATGACAATAAAATTCTATGGGAAAACTCACTTACTGAAATATCTGCCTAGTATATCATTATTGTTTCTCAAGAACAGCCACACACAGTTTCTGTTATTCTTGGATCTAGGGTTTTGGAGTTCTTTTATATCTGTAGACATACCATGGCCCATAGACCAGATCCTTGTATGGGCCTGACATTCTATCAGGTGATGCTTCTACTTCCGAAAAAACCCCGTTTACACATGGAGTAGCTTGATGACAGTCATCTCTGATTCTTGCCTTGCTGTCATCCCCATATGCAATCCATCAGTGACTTTTGTTGAAATATGTCTGAATCTGTCTACTACTGAAACGTTTGGCTGTCACATTCTGGTCCAGGGAATTGTCATCTCTTGTATAGACAAGTGCAACAGGCTCCACTATTCTAGTCTTTTCCCCAAAAGAGGCAACAGTGATCATCATAAAGTGTAAACTGGGTCATGAAATTCCTCTGCTGAAAATTTCCAGTTGTCCTTAGAATAAAAACTCGATTGGGCATCATGGCTCCCAGTGTCTCAACAGTCATTCCCTCTGCAGTTCTCTCTTTGCTCACTTTACTTCAGCCACAATGGTTTTTCAGCTCTTTGGTGCCCAAACCTTTTCTGCCTCAGGGCCTTTCCACATGTAACTCTGTCTTTCTGGAATAGTTGCCTCATTTTTGTCCCGGTTAGCATTTCTCTTACTTTATGTTCCAGCTTTAAAACTTTCTCTTCTGAAAGAATTTCCTTACTACTCTAATGTATGTTCTCCAGTGTTATTCTTTCTCAGCTCCAAATTTGTTTCCTTTATAATACATGTTTTAACTTGTGATTTTGTAAGCCTCCAGTTGTGTCTTGTGTTCATGCTAGATTGTAAGTTACACGAGTGCTGGGATCAGATTTGTCTTGTTTACTTATGTTACCTCTGGCACAGTATTTGCTGCATAGTACATGCTTAATAAATGCTTATTGAAGAGTAGTTGAATGGATCGATTATTATAGACAAAGACATAAGCATTGCTTGTATTTGTCTAAATATTTTCTACATTACAGATAAAGGTTCAGCTGATTTTCTTGTTTTTAATCCTTGCAAATCATCTTGATATTTCCCTGCTCTGCTTTCCTCCCTTGCTATGTAACTCTGGTCCTGACTTTTACTTATTCTGCTTTGGAAAATGTCTCATTATTTTAACCATTGCTACAGTGGTATTTTGGCCTGGGTAGATGGCTCCTGAGTGTGTTGAACTGTTTGTCATACACGGGTGATGGGAAAAAATTGATCCACTGAGCACATGGATTCATCATGTACACTTAAAAAATGCTCACTACTCCACACAAAACTCTGGCACCTCAGCTTCAAAAGCCTTATTAAAGAGGCATGGAATTGAATACTAGATGGCATTTGTAAGACAAAGTAAGCCAAATGTCTTCCAGTATTTAGGCACATAGGAAGATGATGTAATTAATGGGCTTGTTTAGCTTATGACACAGATGCATTTTCTTTTCTCCACGGTTTTGGTGTCAAGACAGGGCTTCTAAAAAGTGAATGCATGTTTTAGTTCTTCCACATTTGGTGCTTTGAGGGAGGAAGCTAGCTGTATTTTCCCCTCTGAGCTCAGCAGCAGCTCCAAGTCCTTGCACAGCTGCTCTTCTTCCCAGTGTAGTATCGAGCTGGTGTCCCAGCCTGGGACACAGTGTGGTATATGAGCAGCTGGGAGAGAGGCTGGGGAAGAAAAGTAAAATGGAAGAGCGGGCAGGAGGGAAGACAAGGGAATGAGGAGGTGGTGTGGAGTGGGTGGCGGAGAGAAAAGTTAGATTGTGCTCTTTCTTAAAAATAATCCTTTTGCCTCCTCCACGGTGCACTTTTCTTTTTCCCTAAGGTAGCAGCTGCCATCATCTGAGAGTTGCCCAGAAAGTGGGTGGGAAGGTGGTCCTTGATGAGATCGGCTCTGGAAACACAGCTTCCCACCATAGATGGTTTTGACCTCTGTCCTTCTCATTTCATTAGTGTCCTGGATATTTATGGGAGAATAAACAGGCCACTGTGTGACTGCAGAGACTCTGAAGAGGTGTAAAATGTTAGGGAACAGAGCTGTAGACAGAACACCCTGTTCAGCATGTTGGTCGGAGGTGTAATATATTTCTTGACAAGCTTGACCGTGCTTCAGGGCCTGGGGTGCTGACTGCCTTGCACACGGATGTCTTGCCCGGGGTAGAAGCGTCTCGCTAGGTATGTGCACACAGACACTCGGTCAGTCTGTGGAATCCTTTTTTTAGCTCTTTGGCTGTGTGTACGAGAACTGATGGATCTATGCTGATGAACACTGTTCTGTCAGCCTGGAACAATGAATGCCAGGGCGTGATCCTGTTATATTCAGGAAACTGAAACAGAGAAATGGTTGCTGCTCTTGTTTCGTGCTTCCAGGTAAATGGTGAGAGGAGCTTTTCACAACAGCCAGTGTTACCTGGGGTTTTGTCATTTGACTTCCCCTTTTCCCTGTGCCCTCCCCACCACCTGAACTTATTCTTCTCAGTGCATTTCTACTTTTTCTTGATTTTTAAATGTTTTCTGTTAAGATAATTCCGATATCATGAAGTAAGATTTCTTTAATTTTCCACATGCCATTTGCATATCCCCAAAATGAACGTGAAGGGAATCTTTGGAATGTATGTGAAACAAGATAGATTCTTTCCCTGTTAAGAACCAAAAACAACACACAAGAACTATATACCGCCTCCTTCATCTTCTCTGTTCTTTATCTTATATAAGTAGGAAGAAGTACTTCATCTTTAGGTCTGA